ACTTCTTTTTCATATTCCAACATCCTATTTCTCATGTTGCATTATATTCAAGCGGTTCTGCTGTAAAATGTGCTGCTGTGTCTGTGGAGATCCATTTTTTTGTTCGCTCTTGTTGTTAATGTTGTCTACTGGAACCGATCGATACATACCTTATGGTCAGCGTTGGTCGACTTCAGTGCCGCCGCTATTGATCATAACCCTGGTGACTGATCAAGCTGAACACGTGGTGCACGTGATTCACTCAGTAGAAGGGCATCGTTCAAACACATTAAGAGGTCATTGTTGTTACGATGACCTTTGGCGAGTGGCGGACCAAGCTCATTAGTACCACGGGCAACTGTGGTTATAGGTCATCTATCAGTACAGTTACGTTATTGCGACAGAACCAACCTGAATTCTGCTTCCACCAACAGGGCTGCAAACATATCCGTGGTTTTGGTGACCGCTGCAACAAAAATGAGCACAGAAGCTGGATGCAAACATTTGATTATCCCAACAGCATTACAGAAAAATTTATGTAGATTAAAATTATTTATTTGTAAAAAAATAATAAATCTCCGTTTGTCTTAGCTTGGCTCTACATTGGAAATCAACAAACGCGCTGCTTAGATCAAATGTACACTCCAGTAATCGACCGAACATTAGCCAAGCAAAGAGATTAAATTGACATAGTACCTTCTGTGCTTCTGTGATTGAGATAACTTTCGGTGCATTCATTTCTTCATGGCCATCTTCTCTAGGACGCTTTGATTGATTTCAGATGTTTTTGTTAAATTCCAAACAGGCCATTTCTTCTTCAAGAAGACTCATCAATATATATCTATATAATGCGTAGAATTTGCAACCAGATCACATTTATCCTCAGGTAACTGCATTATCTATTGACTCAGCATGGGTTTGAACCCGGTAGTTATGAAAGCGTTGTTTACTGCGGATGCACAGACATCCAAGTTTTTTGACAAGGTACATGGCCATGAGAATGTCCGCTTCAACGTTTACGCTAATTTGCTCATCTTTGACCAAAGATAAAATGTATTCCAGTAAATATTCCGGGAGCGAACCTTTGAAAGACTAAATCACACGGTAGTCCATTGGTTGTAACAGTGAAGAACAGTTTAGAGACAACAGTGCGGATCTTATATTCCAGAATGCTGCATTTTTGTAATGCCAAGAGGCTTTCCCGGGAAATAAGTTAACTCAAAAGGCACAGGGCCTCTGGCCCAGATGGACTGTTCCCATCGGCATTTAGGGATGGGAGTTCAGCCTTAGGTTTGGAATTGACGAAAAGCCTGGAGTCAATATGGGAGAGCGAACAGGTTCCAACTGAATGGTGTGTCGTTCATCTTACCGATTTACAAGAAAGGTGACAGATCTTGTGCAAATCACAGAGGAATTAGTTTAATCAACATTACCTCTAAACTTTTCGTTGGCTTCTTATTACGTTGAAAGTCCACCGAACGTGTGAGAATTAGGCTAGCTTGAGACTTGATTGAAGTGGTATCGATCACAGCTTCACTATTCGCCAAATTCTATAATACAGACACTCCTTTCCTGGACCCACCGTTTCTGTCTTCCACTATCTAACAAGGGCGTTCGACTCAGTCGACCGCTCTAAACTCCGGTGCTGCCTTTCTCTGAAGGGTGTGCCCGAGAAGTTTATTTAAATATTAGGATCCCTTTATACTAATAGCTGAAGAAGAGTCCGAGCTTATGGCACTTTTTCGCCCGAGTTCACCGTGGAAAGTAGCGTTTTTCAGAGTTGCTCTCTCTCCTTTTCTATTTAACGTTGTAATGGATTTGACTATAGAAACTGCCCCATCCTCTTGCGAGGAAAGTGGTATAGATTTGCTCCCAGATGAAAGATTGTCCGATCTATAGTATACAGACGACATGGTGCAAGCTTTTCTGGATGGTTTGAGTGCCAGCGTAACCATGTTCGGTATGCGTTTTGCACCTTCAAAGTGTAAAATGTTGCTAAATGACTGGGTTTTTTCCAGCACCCAGCCTTACTCTAACTGGAGAAGTAATATAGTAAGTGGATAAGTTTTGTTATTTGGGCTGCTATATCTCACCCGGTGGATGTGTCACAAATCAAGTGTCCGCTCGCCTACGAGAGACTCGGTTGGCATTTGCCAACTTGAGATATATGTTGCGCAGTTGCAACATCCGGCAGTCTGTGAAAGGTTTAGTGTATGCTGCAACAGTTTTGCAAGTGTGGCTACGCAGTGGAGGGACTTGTCCATTACTGGAACAGGATAAAGATAGACTGTCAGCGTTTGAACATCGCTGTCTACGCAGCATTGCACGAATCTGGTGGGGCAACCGGACGAGAAATTCCGAAGTTGGGCGCAGGGTTTTAGGCGACTGCGGTCGCCCACTGGAACAAGTGGTCGACCTCGATAGATTACGTTGGTTGGGGCGTGTTACGCATGTCGCTAGATAGGTTGCCACGGCTTACGTTTTTTGCCCAGGTAGGCAATTAGTGGAAAAAACTGAGGGTGGTCAAAATAAGACCTGGAACTAGGGTATGAAAACCCTATTCAGGAGACAAGGTCATATAGGTCGCGTTAGGCTCCTTAGATGTGGTTAGAGACAATGAGTGATATGACTGAGTCATAAATAGGGGAGTTCGTGCATCTCCTCAATTTGTTTGTCACCTTAGTCTACGAAATTATCTATTTGCTCTTCGACTCGACTTTAACCTTTCTGCCTTTCTCCCACTGCTTCATCCAAATGGGGAGCTAGAAGGTAGCAACCAAAACTGGTGCACTAAGGTGCACGATTAATGGTTCTTCAAAATAAAAACTGAAAATTATCTATGAATGGTAAAATAAAACGTCCGCGAGAAACCGCCTTGCGGTTGATATCAGAAGCTTGGAATAACGCAGAATTCTTTCATAAATTTTCGGAAGAATTATAATTGCAGAGTAGGCTTTTGCAACCTGTGACACGAAGACATCATGGAGTTTGAAATTTTCCAATAAAAGGCGGTGATAACTCCTCTCTGGTCGTGCTCCCACAAAGCAGTCACGTGAACCCTCTTTTTGGATTTCTGGGCTCCAGAAACTGTCTTTTGAGATATAAATTTTTTTCTGGGAGCTGCTTGTAATGTAAAGCTGTTTCATTAGCGTTGTAAATTAAACAGTCGGCATATCCATGGATCAATTATGCTAACCCCGTTCGAAACTCGTCCACTTGGTACCACCGAAATTTTCCAAGGTAATACACGCTAGTAGTTGCTGGTTTATTACTTCTTTATTACATCTGTCCGACTGAGAGCAAAATTAACTTTTGGAAGCCTTGAACTAATCAGGAGACAATTTTGTACTAGTTCTTTTTTCTTATAAAAGATGATCTAAACCATGGGAAACTTACCGTGCTTTTCCCTCATAGCGGTAAACTATGTCAAAGTCGCCTCATTGGATGCTTTGAACATAACGTTGGTCCTCAGGTGGCATTTTCCTGAGATGCACCAGATTTGAAAAATTACCCGAAAATCGTTCAATTAGATATAACATTGTAGGCAGTTCTCCTTTGGTTCCAAATATTGAGAAAAATCTACCAATGAACCATATTGATTTCCGGTCTATTTGCCTAATCAATGTGTATCTTTTCCCTACGTCCAGATGATCATCAGCAATTCGAGGATCCAAATAGAGTGCAAACTACCTATCAACATGCGTTAATGGTACTAGAGAAATACGAACAAGGTGAGTTTCCGTGGTGATGAGTTGGGGGCTGCAAGTAAACTGTATATGCCTAATTACAGTAATCATCATGACTACGGACTAGACTGAGTTCAGGGCAGTAGTCGTTTGTAGTGTAAGAAAGAACAATATTTGAATGGAACTCGTTCTTTCATGCGGAACATCAGCAACCCCCATGAATGTATTGGTCTGGCCAAAAGGGTGATGACGCAAGTGAACAGCAAGATTGCGTTCTACTTGTGACTTCCTCTCGGTTGGTAAATGCGAGTTGATTATGCCACCCAGAAGGGGGGAAGCAGGTCTACATTTCACGTTTTTGTTGTCTCATGTGCCACAAATTTTATCTCGTGACTGAACTGTATACTCCCTTGGTTTCTTCGACACTGGAAAAGAATCGTTTGAACGAAAATAACCAGAAACGATACTGGTTCTGAGGTAGGCTGTTGGTACCAGATGGCCTAACAAGCTAAGACCATTAATCAAATATTAATGTAAGAAAAATTACGTAGTTCACCTTCTAAGTGGATTATTTCCGCTCCAAACCTTTAGGTGTGTTTTATCTAGCCTGTGATTAGGGGAATAGTCACTAAATTCATTGAAGCGTGATTACCACGATTCGACAGGAAGGATGTAATACCTAGAGGGACGAAACTAACTCATGGTAATCAGTTTTTGATTATGTTAAAACGAAGGTATATGTACATCGACTAGAGATACTTGAGCGAAGGACTCAGTTAAACTTTTAGAGGTTTTATTACACTTCAGATTGGAAGGTCACAAGCATTTTAAGTGGTTGCACTTGTGACGGGTCATCCAAAGTGATTAATATTATTGTGCATTTGAATAGCAACAATATACAGTGCAAATAGCATCAATGATTCATTTAACAATTGATTCATATCAACGCAACAACAACTTAATCTGAGCTATCTAATTAATCAATAGATATTTTGTTACGTTTCTGTCCGAATATCAGCCCGTGCAAACTCCGAACAACGTATCCGAGACCTACTAGCTGTGATTCCCATTCTGGATGAAATGAGCCGAGAGCATCAGCAAATTATCAGACAAATACGGCGCCAATACCATCACCTCGTGTTTTCTGAACTGTACGTCCAAATGTTCCGACTGGATGATGAAAATGAGGGAGACGAGAATATCGAACTGCTGGAGCATTCTGGCTAAATAAGAACACATCTTCACCCAAAAGACGTATGTGATGAACCCCACCGAATCGGACTTGATTTTACCTTCTTTTCTAAACCAGGTACAAAATTTCTACTGTACCCCCATAAATCCAGGAGGATAACACAAATGTCCTCTCAACCCAAAAATACATACTCCACGAAGGCGACTGAACATGAGGTAGTTTGAGGCAGCCGAAACCCATAGTTCCGTCTCCCGTTCATCATTTTTCTCAGACAGCTACATTTGTAAACAAATACGGTTACTTTGTCTATTCATATCTCTTTTATTCTGTCCGCCCATCACCGTTTTCGTTCGGCAATTGTCCACCCACTTACCCACTCGGGGCATACTATGACAGCTTTGCTTGACCCCATTTGTTTCCCACCTTGGACAGTCTGTTCACATTTACCTCCTACGACCCGGTTTCAACTCCTCGTTGATCGACAGACCGTCCTTCTCTGGGACCCTGAATTGTGTAATTTTATGACTTCTGCGTAACACTTCCTACTCCACTCTTGATTATCTTCCTCTTTATTATACATAGCATTTCCTACCTTAACCAGGTTCACCGAACATTGCCCCTTTTTGGGTCAATGTTTTATTCAACACCGGTGTAGTATGATACCGAACTCAATCGGTACAATTTTGTGCGTGAAAATTATGGCTGAATCAAACACCCCCAATTCAGTAACGAAACCATGAAATAAGGCGAGACCCAAACTCATGGCATCGTTATCTCCGCGGCGAAGAACAAAAGAAGTTGCATTTCACCCTACTCACTAGTCGATGAGTGGTGTATTTTGCTTTCTAATATCTTTTAGTGAGTGAGTGCATGCCTACTTAACCTATTTCTCTTTCTCCCTGTCTAATGATTCACGCAGCAAAGCACCACAATGTAATCATCAATCATTCTTTAAAAAATGGAGTGGCCAACTCAATTCGGACTCTTTTGCCACTTCAGTTCCCTTTCCGCCCATCTTAAAGTGACTTCGTAAGGTGATGAGCCGTTTTTATTTATAATACTATTCCCCATTTATGCATTGTAACGACCATATTGTTAACGATTCTATTGTTGCTATGCGGGTACAAACTGATAAGCGTAAGCAACTGGAATCTCAGTGGTTCAGCGATATCAGGGATTTGATTGGCAACAATAAATGCGTTTTTATCAAAAACAAACAGCTTCTCTCCCAGGATTAATAAACCTCAATGAAAGGTTGACAATTTGGCGTTCTCCCTCCTGAACTGGGTGGTTTGTTCAGACTAAACCGGAATTCTGGAGACCAGCGCAAAGTAAGCTATGAATATACAGTGCTAATCGAAAAAAAGAGAACGACTCAACCGAGGCATACCACAAACGAATCTATTTGATCGATTGTCAGAATTACAAAAGTGAGAAAAATACTAGCAAAACCTTTTTGTCAGCAATGGGCACCCAGTTTGCGCAGCATATTATTGAAAAGGACTTGCTTACTGTGTGATCCTGATAAACTAGTTCCCGACTACTTTCACGGACCCTCCTCAGTTTCACTTGGCTTTGATGTCTTGAAGTTTTCCATGTTTTTATTTTGATGCGAACGCAGTAGGATTGGAACCTTGCGATCTATAAGAGACCACGGTTTGTATGACTGGAAGTCTAGAAGTCAGTGCCGGTGCATCGCCACCCTTGAGGATAAACGGTAGCATCCGATGTGACAGTGGCTTGAATTGCTCATT